CCCATACCTCCCCTCCAGGCCCCAACCCCAACCCCGCGACCGTGTCTCGTCACTCCCAGGTCGTCTGGCTGTTTTCGCTCCTGCAGTAACACAGGTCAACCGCGCTACTCGCGTGACCACCAAATTTTCCCGTTACTGATTACAAGCCAAAAAAAGGATTTGGTTCGACTCCAAATATGAAGCATGTGAGGGGAGGGGTACTTCTTTTACAATTTTTCGATATAGAGCCTTTTTAGCAGATGCTACCTTAACCCTTTGATTAATCGTACAGAATGCATAAGTAACTCTAAGGTGTCGGCTAGGTCAGCCGCCCTCCCTCCATTACCCTGCCGGACACTCGCAAAACTTTGTGGGCTGAGTTCTGCAACTCAAATGCTGGACTAATAATGACATTCTTTGGTGGCACAACCACCGGTTGTCATAAGGTTAGCAACAACCTGTCTTTGGACCGACAACCCGGCTACATTCGGGAAAAAAAGACGTTGGTGTGGGGATCAGTTCTGTTTGGTAGGCTAAATTCGACAGCTGGAATCGAGAATCCGCTATTCACAAGCAAGAGTTGGTTGTCACGACTGGACACAAACACTTGTACGAATAGAATCAAGCTGGAGTTTGTTCAAGACGGTCGTTAAATTTTTTTTAAATTGTAATAGTATAGGCTCGTGTCGTCCGATTGTTCCAAATTTGGATTAAACGTCTAAAATTGTGGGAATTCTTATCCTATCATTGTTAATAACTAGCAACTTGTTTTCTTTTCAGCCGCCATTGACTTGCGCTGCTGTGCCCCAAAGTGAGACAACAATGAAGAGTGAACGGACATTATTAGAGTGCACTGAGTGCAACAAGACATTCAGCAGAAGTGGGAATCTGAAAGTCCATCTTCGATCCCACACAGGAGAAAAACCATACGAATGCGCAGTATGCAATAAGACATTTAGCACAAGTGGGGTTCTAAGAGTCCATCTCCGATCCCACACAGGAGAAAAACCATTCGAGTGCGCAGTATGCAATAAGACATTTAGCAGAAGTGAGCATCTGAGAGTCCATCT